GAGGTGTTCCGGTACATTTTTGGGCGGTGTCGCGAATAAATGTGCAGAACACCTCATGTGTGCATGTTTCAGTGTTTTGCACACCTGCTCCCAGCGTGTACAACAGCTTCTATAACAATTTTTATAGGTGTTTTGGACACTATTGGGTGAGGTGTTCCGAACGACGGTCCAAGGTGTTCCCAACCGACGAAATCAATGTAAACTACAGTGCATTGACATGTTTAAAACACTCGCCGAAAGTGTCGTGCACGCTGCCGATGGATCACGCCCGAATATATTTGCGAATAAAATTTATTATGCTACATTTACATACGGACCTCGCAAGCTGTCGAGAAACGCCATCATATGCACGCATATTAGCGAGCAAAACGGACTGGCACGGGCGCGATCGCGAGCACCGCGACCAAGCACGGCACGACCGCATGAAAACGCGAGTAAGCGCGACCAACGTGACTTGCGCGCACGACAGGAGCACAACTGAACACGACCTACTTTGCATAGCTCACTCAGCCGCCTCTCCTAGACTCCCTCCGAGTTGTCGCAGTTCTGGTCCTTGAGACTGCACTGTAAAGGTCCTGTTTGTGATGTCAGGGAGCGTCTGACTGAGGAAGCCCTATCCTTGAAGGGCAGGCATTAGCGATCACGGCGCAGCATCGTGTCATGGGGTGCGTACTACGAGGTCGTCCTTGTCCGCAACTTCGTTGTCGAGCGTGCTCACACTGAGGCTGTTGTCGGCGGCGCTCGCGGGCGTCGTCGAGATTTTGGAGAGCTTGATCGGCCACGCAGGGGAGATTGTCATCGCGCACTGCGCGGGGACGGCGGTGCACGTCGAGGTCGTGCACTCTGTCGACTTCGGGATACGGTTCACAACCCGGACAGCGAGAGCACGCGTCAGCGGCGGGATGAACCTACATATACACAGCGCAGTTAAACATATGCTTCCGTGAACAGGATGAGAACGAACGTACTGGGTCGTCGGGTACACGAAGGTGACGTGTTCGCTGACGTCCGCGGACAGCAGGTTCGCCATGGTGCGGGCCGTGTTCGTGTTCGTCTTGTCTAGATGCTATCGCCGTACGGGATCCAGCCGGGCCGAAGAAACTTGAGCTACGCAGTCGACGTGAAGAAGATGTCAGGGAAGCACGAGAACGAGTAAGGAAAGCTTCAGCAGCGCGAAGTAGGACGAAAGCAGGTCGAGTCGCAGGGGCACGAGCACAGGAGAAGACGGTAGGCGTACCAGAGAAGTGGAGCGTTATATGCGTGGCGAAGGAAGCAGAGCGCAGGGGAAAGGTCGAAGGAGGACGAGCCAGGCAGAGCGCGAGGAGTGTTGACAAAACTACACCTTTGAGAGGTGACATTAGCATAGCAGCCGCCTAAAAAAGACCTTCATATGGCGTGGCAACGAGAGAAGCCCAGAAACTGAAATGACGCGGTCAGTAGAGCGAGAGCAAAGAAGAATAACGAAGTTGCACCGTATGCTATCTGAAACAGGTTACCATCCGACAAGGATATAGGGAGGTGTTGGAAACACACCGGGATTTTTTGGGGGTCTTGACACCAGAAAATACAGATTATCAACATGGGAGAGAGGATAGAAGATGTACGGGAAGAGTGCTACATGTAGAAATGACGAAGGGCTCACACGAGTGGGGGTCCATGTCGAGGGTCACAGACTGAAGACGGAAACCGAGCACGGGAGGAATAGCGAAGAAGGTAAAGCACAACGGTAGAAGACGTTGATCAAGATGAGAACGAGGGAGCGTCGATAACAGCTGAAAAGCACAGTGCGCAGAGGGATCATGGTGGTTCGAGGTCAAGATGCAAAACGACAAAGAGGGAGGCTCTTGAGCCGCTAGTGACGTCATCGCAACTAGCTTCCTAATTGGGAACTGGATAGACGCCCATCTTGTGTCCCCAGCAACTTGCGCCGAATTCCTCGCGCTTCGTTCGCCTGTCGCTCCTTGTTTCCCCAATCTCCTATTCATCTCACATATTCTGTCTTTCTGGGTAACTATATGCAAGCCGATGAAGATTCTCAGTGGTGTCAACGCGACGCTCTCCGGGCGTATCGGTACAGCATCA